TGCGCATGTATATTAGACCAGATCAAGTTAACTGGGATGAGATGTTGCCCAAGGTAGCCAATGCATATAACAATAGCGTGCATCTAGCCACTTGTCGTACTCCCAATGAGCTGCACAAGTCCTTTAGACCGCGCAGACCGTTTGAAGGACTTAACCGGGACCAGATTCATAGGCTACCGCCTGGTACTAGGGAGTTTGCGATACAGCACGAGGAGTTAGCTACCGTTGTTGAGAACCTCAAGAAGGCCCAGCACAGAATGATAGAACAGGCTAACAAGCACCGTCGCCCGTCACAGTTTCAAGTAGGCGACCTAGTCTGGGTCAAGTCCAAAGAGTTTGCTCCTGAGGAAAACATTTCGCAGAAGTTAATGCCAGCACACAAAGGACCGTGGCCAGTTCTAGAAGTTAAGGGCGGAGAGGATGGACCGTCCTATACGATAGAGATCCCAGCACACCTTCACACCTACCCTGTGTTTCATGCGTCGAAGTTGCTACCGTGTGTCACAAGTCAACAGTTTCCATCGAGAAGATCCATGATCCCCCCGGACATGGATGGAAGCTACGACATTGAGGGCATTGTAGGTGAAGACGTATTTAGAACAGGAGGTAGAGGTCGTCCACAGAAACAGTATAAGGTCCAATTTGCTTATTAGGAACCAGAGGACGACCGCTGGTTTACTAGAACTGAACTTCTAGGAACAGCTCCCGACATAGTCAGAGCCTACGAAAGAGATAAGAAGGGTAGAGGTCCTGCCTTGGACGGAGATATTCTCGGAGGACCTCGAATTTAGGCCGGCGGGAGTGAAACGGACTTCACCTTCGCAGTAGCGGATGCAGATCGCAGGGCTCGATCCCTAGACCTCACTCACATGTGTACAGTACCCCTGTGTGTCTGAACCCGTGACCTGCGTCTTAGGAGTCTGCTGTTGTCCGTCATTGGCCAGTGTGGTCATCGGGACTTGAACTGTAGTCCTGTCAAGTAGGGGTTCAAGTTTGTAGCAGAGGTCGTAGCTGTAGTAGTTCTGAAGGGTCAAGGTCGTAGCTGCTACAGTCCTGAAAGGTCAAGGTCGTAGCTGCTACAGTGTTCGAAAGGCCAAGCCCACAGACTTCCGGAAGGTCCGGAAGTGRCCTTTCGAAGTTRTCTCACGTTTGGACAGAGGCAAGTGGGCAAGTGGTGAGCCCAACTGCGTTACGTTGGCAGTGCGACTGCATCGAGTTGGCAGTGCAAACCCATGCAGCCAGCGGTACCGGTCCCAGTCAGTCACAGTCCAGTCAAGCAAGTACCATGTGGGACTGTGTGCACCAAGGGCATGGGAAAGGGGCAGACCAACGAGTTACATAAGTATAAATCAAGAGGCAGCGCCCAGCCATTCATTCATTCCTGCGTAAGCCACGGAAGCGCTGCCGGAGCGACTTGTGCGAGGTGGTCTGCAGAGCGCCCGAAGACGAAGTGGGCTGAGGGAGATAGTTAGCCATAGCTTTAAAGGGTTAGCGGCCATAGCCGCCATAGCCGATAGGCGAGTGTGTGAGTACGAGAGCATGTGTATGTGTGTGGGATATCCAGGGTGATCCAGAGTTGAGTACGTGCGAACAGTGGCGTTGGACAGTGAGACGAGAGTTGGCATGTACGGGCGCTGAGCCGCCATAGCCTGTTGAAGCGAGTTTGTATCTGAACTGTGTTTTCGACTTCCATATCTTTGAGCTTTGAGTGGGCGCTGTGCGCCAGTGTGATTCACCATCTGTTTGCATGAGTGCGAAGTGGAAAGAAGGCGTGTCTGATTGCAAGGGTCACGTCAGCCTTTTTTCTGGGCCACACAGGGTCAAGGCTCTTGTCGGCATTTTCTCAGTCTTTTCCTAGTCACACAGTGTCCAGGATTTAGGTCAGACTCAGGCCAGTTTTTTTCTGGATCACACAAAGTCAAGCCTTTTTCCCAGCCTCTGGTCAAAGTCATGCCAGCAGATTGTGTGCCACAGTGATTCAAGGCATGCTTCCAGTCTCCTCGGTCAGGTCATGTCCCAAGCATTCTTTCCACCGCCCCCCTGAGGGCACATTGGGCAAACACTCAGCAGAGATCCATTGGAAGTTTGAAGTCCAAACCGCATAGAACTCCATGACTCTACTCTGTACCTGAGGTCCATTGGGGCCCACACAACAAGCTCCACCACCGTACCCTGCAGATATGGTCTATCGGGTACCAGGCCCATGTGACTGAGCGGTACACATGTACCAGTTCATGAACAGACCACAAGTTTGAATCCTGACGGAAGGGCGCTTGGGGGGGTACTGAACGGTAGGCGGATGAAGCACAGGACATCAGGAGACATGCCATCATCATTTTCTTTGACTGATGCCTAGCAGGTCTAGAGGTAAGGAGTGCGTACTCAGAACCTGAAAAAGTAAGGAGGCTCCGGTGGTCTTGAAGTTGTTGCTGAAGCCGAAGTACAAATGTTCTGTAGCTGGGTCATCAGAGTTGGAGACCCATACCAAACCAATGTTGGCCTTGCTGCTGATGTCATCTTGACTGCAAGTAATGAAGGGTTCCATGGGTGAAGCGGAGGACCTGCAGAAAAACAAGCAGCAGAGAGTCAACCTGCAGGGAAGGTACGAACCACGTGTCGTACCTGCCCTCTAAATGAATGGTACACATATGGAAGTGATGACAAACAGATCACCAATTCAAATCTTGACGGATATAATCATCTTCAGGAAAAAAAAACTTATGAAAAAAAAGATACAAACATCAGAAACAAGACCCCCGAGGCAGTGGATAAGATAAGGCGGGGAAAAAAGATACAAACATCAGAAACAAGACCCCCGAGGCAGTGGATAAGATAAGGCGGGGAGAATCAAACACCCAAAAATGCAGAGACGAGGTGAAAGCAGACAGATTGCCCTGCTCTGGCCCATAGGGAATATAGCCAAAACTAGTAGCTACCCATGACAAACAGCAGCACCCATGGCTAGCTGGAGTCAATACCAACCACATTTGCGCACCTGCCAGCAGTAGCAGTGGTTAATGGAGCGGAGCTTGAGAATTTGAAATTCAAAATTCAAAATAAATTCGTTCTCATGCCATTGCTTCCCCTTCAGTGTTGGCATACGAGTCAACTAGAAAGAAATACCCATTCAAACCACCCGTACTTTTGACCTCTCCCTTGCCGAGCCTGGAAACATCCTGCAGGCCAAAAAAAAAGAACTGGCTCAGGCCTTCTTCAGGCTGATGCCGTGAGTCATTTTGCCCCAGTAGGTCGACCTCCAAAACTTGCGGCAGCACACCACGATGGAGAAAAATGGCCGGCAAACGTACTGGTGGTTTAGTCCAGAAAAGGACAAAAGCAATTATTTGACATCCAAGCCAGCGCTTCTTTTCTTTTCCTTTTTTCCTTTCTTCAAATTCTTTTCAGTATTGCTTATAAATGTGTCTGGCAACTACGCAACGAATCACCAACAGTCATAGGAGGGAGCGTCGATTGAATGTTTGCAGATTAAAAAGTCCAAAAAACAAATGCCGATGATTATTTTCACTTACCCTTACTCCTGCACAGGAGGCTGCCTTCACAAATGCAGTGCCTGATGCTTCCACTTCGGAACAATGCCTGCTCTTGGCTTATCAAGCGGTTCCCCTGGTTACCAAGAGCCACAGACAGGGACCCAATTGGAATGATGCGGAACTGTCAACGCTACTACTAAAGGGCATACTCACAGGACTTTCTTGGACTTATCTGACCATGCTGAGGACCGCATTTAACCGAAGTAGCCCTAGTAGCGCAGAGGAATCAGGGTCCACATTTCTTAATAACCAACCAAGATGAACTGGAACTAATATGGTAAACAGGAAGGGAATGGCAGAGACATTCTCAATTGCTCATACAGATAGTCTCTGCATCTTACTTTTCTGTTCATCTTTTTTTTTTTATGTTAACCTTTTCCACAATTTTCAAACTTTTGGCCCGTGGCATCCTTGGACAGAAATCATGTGCCGTTTTGATTTGACAAGTGTCACAAAAGACGGTAACTCTTTATTCTTCCAATCGGAGCATCCAATCGACCAGGGATTTAAAGTGACCGCAGAGGAGGAATCAGTCACGTCTACTACACTCAGCAACAGATATACAACCAGGTAATTTAAGGTGTCCGGTGTCCGGTGTCCGGTGTCGGGTGTTGGGTGTCGGGTATTGGCTGCCGGGTTTAGAGTTTTGGGTTTTGGCCCTCTTCGGCTTAGGGTTTAGGGTTTCGGGTCAATGGTTTGGGGTTTAGGTTTGTGGGTTTTGGGTTTTGGGTTTTGGGTTTTGGGCTAATGCATTTATGGTTACTGGTTTTGTTTTGGGTCTAGGTTGTGTTTAATGTCTTGGGTTTTGGGTTTTCAGTTTTGCTTTTAGGGTTTACGGTTTTGGTATGGGGTTTTGGGTTTTTAGTTTCGAGTTTTTGCGTCTAGGGTTTTGAGGTTCTGGATTTTCGGATTAGGATTTAGGGTTTGGGGTACTTGAGTTTAAACCTACATGAAGCTGCAATGAACCCAGTCAGGACAGAATCTCGTCAAGGCCAAGATACAGTATGTCTCAGAGCAGTCTCAATGTCTTCAAAATAGTCGTACACATCATCAAGTTGCCCAATATCTGGCCACCAGAGAAGAGGATGGCAGGAGGAAGATGAGACCTGGAAGGTGGAAGAGAAAGTAATCATCAGCATAGAAGATAGATCTCCTCAACAACCCCCTTCCTCTTCGGGCATCTCCCTTCGCCACATCAGCAGAGAGTCTCCTCTGACACAATCTGACAAAGAGCAGGTATCATCATGGCGCTTGTCAGCCCAGACACCTCCTGAAAACAAACAGCAGCGCGCAATGTCGACATGTATGCAAACAGGTAAGCTTCCCCTTCGATCAACCAATCTCACAGCCCTCATCCTTCTCCTACTCGCCAATATCCCATCAATGTAGAAGACAGTGTGGCAAGAGCCACGTCAGCATAATCAAGAATAGAGCTGGCGCCGAAGACAGAGAATGGCGCCAGCACATAGCAGTAGCAGCACTCGGGTGTGGCCGTTGGCCCCGATTCAGCCCTTAGTCAGAAATGATGACCTAGGACTCACGACTATTGCATGATTCGAGCTGAGTCATTGCATTCCATCGGGCCCAATTTCGAGTCCCATCGCAGAAACTATTACTTTAAGCTTGGTTCTCTTTTAATTCACGCTCATATGCAGTGACAATATTGGGTACGGCAGGTAGAAATTCTTTCCTAGAGAACCATCTTGATTCTAAGATAGGTTGAGTCTTGAACTTTACCTTGTACTCCTTCTAAGGTCTTCCCCTGCCACATGTAGAGAAATATCCATGTTCCAAGATTCTTTCAACTTCATAACCTCCGTTCATAGAGGGGGGAAGCATAACTTGTGGCCTTCGATATAAGGTTGCAGTTTGGAAGCATGAAAGACAGGGTATGTCTTGAGGTGAGGGGGTACGTCAATTCGATATAATGGACCGTCTGTGTCCCCTATCACCTTGAGAACTTCCCAGGGTCCGTAGTAGACAGGTAGCAATTTCTGAGACATTTTCTTCGAGGGACAATTCTTCAGACTTTACCCATACTAGATCTCCTTCTTTGAACTGAGAAGGTCGATGATGATTATTTGCTTGGTCGATCATCTGCAGTTAAGCTTTCTGTATATTCTCCTTAACTTTGGCTATGTTTGTTAGTACAGAATTGCAAATTTTGTGGTTCCGAGGGGTAGCCGTTAGACTTGTCCCGTAGTCAACGCATCAATGGGACGGCTTCCAACCTTTGTGCAGTGCGTTAGGTGTTCTACTAGTCACAATGTGAACACTATTGTTGTGGGCACTTGCAATCTTTGGTAAGTTCTCATCCCAGTCAATTTGATCAGGCCTCACATATATTCGCAAAACGTTGTTGACACGATTTGTTCATTTGCTCAATTTGTCCATTCGTTTCAGGGTGTCTACCTTATGACATGGTCAGTCTTGAGCTATAGGCTTCCATTAGCTTTTGCCATTGTAGCCAATGAACCGTGCATCCTTATCGGAGACGACGACTTTCGAAAATCCATACTCGGAAACCCATCGCATCTGGAACTTCTGGATGGCGAGTTTCGTTCCAGTTTCGGGTCGTAAAGGAACGGACATTGCATATTTACAGAATTTGTTGACAATGACTATTACCCGACTGATTGAGATGGACTCACCCGAATCACTTGGAATAGGTACTGGTCGTAGTAGTCCCAAGGATTCTCACTAGAGGGTCGTGTAGCACACCGAACATATTCGAAGCTTTTTCGAACATCCGAACATGTTCGGGTGTTCGGCCGAACGCCACCCGAACGTGTTCGGCCGAACATATTCAAAAAAAAATAAAAAATAAAAAAAATAAATAAATTGGTTTTTGATTTTTAACTCGAGTTTGGTTACGAATTTGACCATACCTCCAAGGCAAAAGTTGCTTGTATTATTATTTTACATCACATATATTCTTTTCAGATTTTTTGGAGAACTTTTTGTTTTTTATTTTTTAAAAATATTTTTACGTTCGCGTTCGGAAAGTTTCGGCACTCGTTCGCGTTCGGTCCCGAACGGTCACTAAACCCGAACACGATGCTACACAGTTCGAGGGTTTGTTCCTTTGGCGAACAAGACGAGTTCGCACATAGGTTAGCACATCCTCTTTTATTCCTTTCCATTCAAAAAATTCTCTTACATTGACATTCGTTTTCTTAAACCCGAAGTGACCCTCAGTATTATGACATTCCCCAATAATCATACTTTTGATATCCTCTCTGAGGGGAATACAATTTTTTTTTTCGGTTTGATCGATAAGGAAGAGCAAGTCATCAATCATTCGATATTTAGGAAAGAGTTCACGACTTTTTTGAAGGGTTTTGATGATAGGGTTCCTAATCGGATCATCAACATACCCTTTACGAATTCGGTCCTCTAACTCATTCCCGATGTCAAGGTAGGTAACAATTGTACCAAAGAAATCAGAACGTTTGGACAAAGCATCAACAACAACATTAGATTTTCCTTCGATGGTTTTTAACTCAAAATCAAATGTGTCGATGAATGCAGACCATCTTACTAACTTGTCTAAGAGTCGAGGTTAGATCCACTTCAGGGTTGAGTGATCTAAGTAAACCGTGAAGTGTCGTCTAAGCAATTAGTGTGTTCAAGTGTCTAGTGCTTCCACTAAGACATAAAATTCTCTTTCATACGTGGAATTAGCTACCTTTTAAGATGGAAGGCATTTAGCCATGAATTCAATCGGTCTATAACTTTTCCCGTTGTCATGTTGTAGCACAACCCCAATCCCAAACTGACTAGCATTAGTCGTGACAATCACGGGAAGTGATGGATCAACAATCTTTAAGACAGGGTAGTGAGTTAGCGTATGTTTTAACTTCTTAAACTCGAACTCAATCTTTGTCCCATAACCAAGGTTTTTCCTTCTTCTGTAATCTTCTCATGGGTGCAGCTATAGGCCAGAAGTTCCTCACAAACTTCATGTAATAGCTAGCAAGTCCTAAGAAGGGTCACAACTCAGTGACAATCTTAGGTCTGGGTCAATCTCTAATTGCGGTGATATTTTTTTTTTCGAGCCTTTCCCTCTTCATTTACTATATGGACAAGGTAGTTTGACTTCTTAGGATTTAACTTGTAGGTACTTTCTCTTAATTTCCCTAGAACCATTCGTAGATGTTTCTCATGGTCCTCCAACGTCTTACCATAAACAAGGTTGTAGTCAAGATACACCACTATGAATTGATTTATCCACTGCCTAAACAGTTCGTTCATAACCTCAGAAAGGTTGCACGGGCGTTAGTTAATCCAAAAGGCATGAAAACAAACTCGTAGTGCCCACACCTAGTTTTGAACGTCGTCTTGTGTTGATCTTCTGGTGCCACCTTGATCTTGTGGTACCCGGACTTCAGATCAATCTTACTAAAGTATTTGCAACCCTGCAACTAATCGAGAAGATCATCAATACGAGGAAGTGGTTCCCCATTCTTAATAGTTATAGAATTCATCCCTCGATATTTAATACACAGTCTAAGTTCTCCTTCCTTTTTAGGTACGAATACGACAGGTGCACTTCGGGGAAAGGAGTTCGGTCGAATCCATCCTTTATCTGTAAGTTCTTGCAGTTGTTTTTTTAGTTTTCCCAGTTCCCTCATGGACATTCGGTAGATGGGTCCTTTGGGAATCTTACTTCCGAGAATGATTTCAATTGTGTGCTTTATAACACGGTTAGTGACTCTTGTTGGTTCAACTTGCAAGTCCTTATATTCATTGAGTAGTTTATCGATAGAAGGAGGATAGGGCGAAGAAACTCACTGACTCGTTTAACGAGTATCATCATTACATCCTGTGTCCACTTCTTTTTCGTGACCATACTTTGTAAAGCAGGAAGACTCATGCAACAAAAAGACAGTGATGAGTCAGAACCAAACTTGTGAAACAATTTGGTTGACTCTAATTTGGATTTCTCATCCCGTAGTTCGACAATCTTGTCTTTGAACTTGAATTCTGGGTCGCCCTCCTCATGCCAATCCATTCCCAAAATCATGTCAGAAGGCAGATTCCTTTCTACCAAGGAGATTACTTCATGCATAA